CCCTATCAAACAATAGAATCACCCACCATCTTCTGATTCGCCGGCAGCTTTTTTCAGTTCTGAGTCTACCAATGGTATATCACCCAAAGCTGTTCGTATTTCATACATGACACTTTGGATATCATCAGATGTCGTACAATACTCTCCAAGGATCCACAAGGCTGCACGATGTATTCTGTAGTACAAGACAGATAGATGTGACAATGAGTGAAATAACAATGAAAATTTAGTCCTCAATTAGCAATCAAGTCCTGCCAGGAATTTATAAGATATGGACACACAACTTTGATATCTATGCACGTTAATACCAATGAAGATCCTATTCCATGTGTTACACAACTGAATACATTTCTAAACAATGACACCAGAGAATGCAGGGGACACTTGGAACGTGTCAATTGTGATAAAAAAATGAGCGACATTATCATTGTATTCAAAAATGCACACAATAACAGCAAACGCAGCCCAAGTCTTAACCCATTCACCAACAAACTTTCCGGCCCAAAATTTTTCTGCACTTTTTTCTTATATTCTTCAATATTTTTGGGAATACACCTTAATTTTGGAGCCAACAGACATAATTTGTCAATTTTCAGTTTTCACTCCAAAAATTTTGCTATATTTGTACCAATCTTCTGAAGGAAAGTGCAGACTATAATAGGGAATATTTTGAGAATTTGTGATGAAAAGAGGGAACTGGTGGTGAAAAAGTTTAACACAAACCAGTTTTTTTTTACAGACCTCTGCATTTGCATTGGTATTTCCAGAAAATTTTATGATTATCTCACACAAATTTTTTTCAATTCATGCAAGATCTTCATCGGTCAGTACTTATCATATAAAACTAAATGGACCAAACTTGAAGTAAAAGTTAGACTGGCCCAGTGGTGGCAATTTTATAATCCTTTTTTTTCCTAAAATCATGGTCTGTTACGAAATTACCACGACGTATTCATTGCTATTAATTATTCATGATATGCAGTGATGTTATGGAACTCAGGAGTGAAACACTTCCAAAAGAAGAAAGTAGACATGCACTAGCGCAAAGAATTCTACAGAGAGTTTTCATCAAAATGGTAATCAAATATAGTGACAATTTTACAAAATGCGAAAATAGTTACACTGAATTTAGGATAGGAAAAAATATCTGTCACTCAAAGGGATATTAGACAAATTTCTAGTTCTAACTTGGTTATTTACATTTGCTTCACTTGGAAATAATTATTTTCTATTGTGTTTTTATCTGATCATATATCATTGAGGATCTGGAGAATAGTGCAACTGACAATAATTACAACATTAACAGGATACTCTAATATAACGGGATATAGTGTAATACACGTAATTCATGGAAGGTGAGACAAATGGTATTCATTCTCAATGGTGTTATTTGCACAAAATGGATAACTTCTTTTGATTCTGGCAGCTTGAGAGTATCTTCTTTCAATTTTTAAATTATGAGAAAACATTACTCAATAGAGAAATGAAATAAATCTGTAATATCACCGCAGTGAAATAAGGATGACACACTGACTTACTTGACTGCTTTTATTGACGGGAACACCTCCAGTAGTTTACCCAGTATAACAGGGCGTAACTGATCATAGCGTTGCATTGCTTCACGTACAAACACTAGGACATCAGCGGCGGCCAACTCATTCTTATCACTCAAGAACTCCATTAACTAGAAATAAAAAGATACAGAATTTGATTAAAACTATGAACGCCAGGTCAACTTTTGTCTATTTACAAATTTCAAACTCACATAATTATTTTCTTGAAATTTTGATTAAGATTTGTGGCCAATAGAAAATAATATTCATTTTTCAAAATCATCAAAAAATATATTAAAAATTACATAAAAACAAAATTTTTGGACATTTTTAACTTTTCTTTACCCAAAATATTAAAGTATCTCCTACAGGAAAGTATTGAAATTATTGCATGAAATGAACAAATCTGATAAAAGTCCATCCAAGGTACATATCAAGTATCAAAGGCTGGTAGTTTTCAAGAAGAAATCCAAAAAAAAATGGATGGACAATTACTATGTTGAGTTTGACCAACAAATGTCAAAAAAATTGCTTCCAGATTTTGTAAAACTTAAGAAATGACAATGACCAAAGAATAAATATTTTATTTCAAATAATATGTGGTAATTTATTTTCCTACGAACAGATACATCATCAATTGGGACAGAGACTCTCATTCTCCAAGTTTAATCTTTGATTTCTACCTCTGGAAAAATACTCACCACAGGGATAATGGTACCTGCGACATCAGGGAACTTAACACTACATGAATGTAATGTCCTGACAAGCAACTGAAATAAAGAAATAAATTTAATATGAGAACATGGCATATATAACTAGTCATATTAGTGAGAGTAACAACAGTAGATAAGATTTTTAGAAGACACTTTGTTATCAAATTAAAGTACCAGTATACTGGTTATAGAAAAGAAGCAGCATATCAGAGCAATGCCACCAAAAGAACAGGCCTCAAAACTGTATTATAGCTTGAGAAGTGCGACACTTTATGGTATACCATATTAATGTCTCCCAGCTGTAGCACCCCACCCTCATACTGTTATCTTGCGTAGTGTCACGATCTGATCTGTTCTATACCATTTTTTAATGCGCCCTTCAGCTGTAGCACCCCCACCCCTAAATACTGCCATTATGAGAACAGCGTCTCCAGAAGCACTATTAAAACCTTAAGAAAATTAATTTTTGTACTAGTAATACAAAAAACATAATTTCCAGGATTTACATCAAATTCTGTTAGTGACTGTTTTATAAAAGTACTCCAATCTGACAAAGTAAACTTGTTCTTTTCAATGGAGAGAGAAATGTCAATAACGCACCAACCAACCAACCAACCAACCTACCTGTCTGTACTTTCCTGTATCTTCATGTTCTCCTGTATTATGCGTCTTTGTCACTTCCTTCTTCAGGTACAAAACCATCTAAAACCATAAACAGAAGTATGTATCTATCAAACTTAAAACTACCACATCACAATATTTCTGTTAAATGTGATGAACAAGTAAATGTTACCCGGGTTTCCCAAACTTGTGACTTTAGTTTCCCACATTAATTCACTTAATCTTGCTACCTCAAATGAGTACACTACAGGCTATTAGCCAGGAATTTGCAACTGCCAGTCCATAACAATTAAACTTCATGAAAATGTAGATGGTTTTGGATATATTTTGGTAAAATTATCAAAGAACAATAGGAAAAAACAGAAAAACAGGAAAAAGTTGCCAGTCCAAAATCAAAGTTGCCATTACGTTTGGTGGCTGGCTAAAACCCTGATACACTTCCCAAATAATGATACCTGTGTACCCCACCCCCCCTCAGCAAACATACTGTATATAGCTATTTGCCATGAACACTACCGCAATATTGGTGTTCTGCAGTTTTAGCAAAAGCACTGTATAATGCTTATTGTCATTATACAAACTTATTGTGAACTGTTCCAGTCTCACCTGAAATGTTTTTAGAAAATACCTACCTCCTCAATGTTCCTGGATGATACAAGATCAAGTGCAAGTTGTAAAGTCTTCTTTCTGACCTCTAGATCTGGGGCAGACAATACACGTAATATGTCCATTACCAATTCCTAGAAAAGAAGATATTCCAGTCAAAACTGGTCTAAATCTTAGTCTGTGTATTCCAGTCATGTGTGTAAACCAGTAAATGTCAAAACTAAATTCCATTCTAGTTTCTTCAACACAGACTTGCTAATAAACCTCCATAAAATAAACCAAACAATAACCACTTTTGCTATGTCAAGTTCAAACAGGGCATTTAACCACAAAAACTTCTTGTACATTTTTCAAATTATAATTCTGATCACTGAATTTGTGTGCATAATCAGTGTACCAAGGTCCTGTAGAAAATTGGGGGAAAAAGTTCCTTAAGGCCCCCTTATCCCTAACATTCCATCCATCGATGACTGTTCAACATACCTGTAGAACTCGTTCATGAGCGGGTGCTTCTTTCAGTGATATCAGTCTATCCAGTACTATCAGTTTAACATTATTATCACTCTCTTTCAGGATCAGTTCAATGTAGCTTGATGCAGCCGCCTACCATAAACAAAGATACAAGAATAATATTAACAGTATTCAATTCTTATGAATATAAATTAGATTAATTTCTGGAAATATGAGAATTACATCATACATGTATCAGTCAGTAATTACATAACACTCAAATAGATTTTTATGGGTGGCTAAAATGTGTTCAATTATGTAATAGCATTACCTTGACAGCGGTTGGTGCACTGGACAGTGTGACTAGTGTTCCAGCTGCCTCATATCTTACTGACGGACTGGACGAGTTCAATAAATTATAAATACAGCGGATAAAACGGGCGCGCTCAGCAGGGTTAGCATGACACACTACAAGAATAAACAAAACATGCAGGAAAGGAATTTTACATTACAAAAATGGTCAATATTTTATCGACAGGTTTCACGAGTTGAACAAAAACTTGATTTTGCTGTGTAATGTTTTTCAATGAGGTAAAAGTTGTATCTACAGGACTAAAACAGTCATAATCGTTTTTTTAGCTATGGAACAGTACGAGATATTGCAATTTCGACAAGAAAGTTGCATTCAGCCCCTCTAAAACAGCAAGGATGTGGTATTGGACAAATACGGTATATACCATGCTTACCTTATAGATGAGTTCTACAATGACCAACTGTAAAATATCATTGAAAGTGTGCACCTGATCAATACATGTACTTAAGTAATCCAATGCACGTTCCTGAAATAAATAAAAGATTACAATTATGTATCACATGTAGCCCCAGCCTTGTAATGCTGTGAGAAACCCAATAAACGAACCAAACCATGCCAACACTTAAATTAACCATTAAATTAAGCAATTTGGAATATACATATTTCCTTTTCAGGATGGCAGCAAACCATTCCCATATATTATCATTGCATATATCGTAAGTATTCGAATTTAGATATCACTCTAATTTAGGAATCAGGTGAGACTGAATGGGCTTAATTTGGTTCTAAATTTGATGTCAAAAACATTTGAAAGTTATGCATTGGTTTTAATTTTGTTGGTAATGAAATGTACAGAAGAAAATTTTAACAAAAAAAAAGAGTGCAAACATAATGTCCAGTAAAATGGTGAATGTAGGATCTGTTGGCATGAATTTCGGTGGACAAACAATACATAAAATTAGTGATTTCTGATAGATGAACTAAGCTTTGAACAAGTATTTAACACTTTACGGGAGGTAACAGTTCATTTTATATTATATTATACGCAAAAGGAATTCTTTTTTTTTGGAAATAAAATCCCACCTGATCAGCATGTATCAGCATCATGAAAGCATTCCGTTTACACGACGCATCCTGCTCTTGTTCCAGGAATGTATGGATCAACTCTGGTGCATCCGGAATCAGGAAATCAAAGTTCCTGAAAGCAAGAGACAAATTAGAAGTTTCATCGTTATAGATGATATCACTGTTTTCAAAGTAATCAAAATCAACAGAGTAGTAATAATTATCAAATACAAATAAATAAAAAAACCTTACTTGTAGATTGTAAAGATCGCCATGACAGCATTTCTTCTCACGTAACTATGGCGATGTTCTAAGCATGCTCTTATAGCAGGCATCAAAGGTTCTAATAATTCAGGTTCTTTGAGTTTACACAAGAAACGCAAAGTAGAACCACGGATGAACTCATTCGGATGCTGCAAGTCCTGAACAAACAAACAAACAAATAAATACATGATAATCTAGTAACTCTCATCCATGACAAAATAAAGGTTACATCCTGCTCATAGTGATAGATCCAAAATAGAAACAAAATCAGAATACTGTGGAATACTTTATTTTCGCTGGAATAATTTTTGCTGAAAAGGCTTTTTGGGCATTTTGTATGGAATTTGTTTTCACTGATTTTTCATGAGTTTAATGTGAGATATAGGAAAAAAAAGTATATTCGCTGCATTTTATTTTCACGGAAACATCCCTTCAGCGAAAATAGCGAAAATAAATTCCAAGCGAAAATAAAGTATTCTACAGTACACAAATTTATTCAAATTTCATATTGTTGAATAAATACAAGAGCAGTCTTCATGTAAGAATATTGTCATTTAACGTACTGTTTATCAGAAAAGTGTTGGTCATTGACAGTTATTTCTCAAATTTACTATGTCATAATGCTTGTTCCGAAAGTTTCATGCGATGACAATGGGTGAAATGAGACTGATGTGTCAAATATCAAATCATAATACTTGGTTGTGATTTTCACCAAGAGAAACAAAAATTCTAAATGTAATTCAAAAATTAAAATGACAGGAAACTTATTCCAACATCACTTTTAAATTGTTGGCTTTATTATTTATGTTTACTTTCTGTTTGTCCAAATCAAACATTGGAATCAAATGATAGAGTGATGTGTGGCATAATTTGCATAATTCGTGTTATACAGACAATGTTACTTGCTTACAATTTTGCCGACCAGCATGTGAATGAAGGGTCCAAAATTTATGGAGGTCATGCCTTTTAGTACTTTTTTCACAATTAGACATTTGTAGAAATTTTTACCTCAAATTAGGTTCCCTCAGAATATGAATTTTTGATAGAAAAGTTGTGCATAGATCAGCACTTGCACATGATCTCAGCATTGTCAACAAGTTGTTTCATTATTCACAACACGTACACATATTTAATAGGAGCACCAATCAATGTCATTACAATATCTTCAGATGTAAACAACTGATTCATGCCAACCAATCACAGTGTACATGTGTAAACAAGTACTGTAAAATCTGTATTAGAAGCCGCAGCTTTTATTAAAATGGTACAATAAAACAGAAGAGATGCGGCTTCTATTAGAGCATCTAAACATACGAGAAATTTTTCGTACTCAATTACTGTAGAATACTTTTTTTTAGCTGGAATTAATTTTTGCTGAAAGGACTTTTTGGGTGTTTTGTATGGAATTTATTTTCACTTATTTTCGACGAGTTGAATGTAAAATATAGGAAAAATGGTATATTCACTGGATTTTATTTTCACTGAATCATTCCTTCAGCGAAAATCAATTCCAAGGGAAAAAAAGTATTCTACAGTAATTGAGAACGAAAAATTATTCAAAAATAATGGGTGCATCTTCTATTAGGGATGCGGCATCTAATAAAGATTTTACGGTCTGTCCTTTTACATAATAAAGATAAATACGTGACTAACCTTTCTATACGCGTCACATACAAGTATCATCTCCTGGAGCAGCTTACCATCCGGGTGAGTTTTAGGAACAATCTCCCAAAATATCAGCAACAGTTTCTTTATCGTGTGATCATGCAACGGCAATACAAACCGGATTATTGTCATTAACAGCGACGGCATCTTTTCACCGTTCAAGATCATATGAATGACTTTTTTTAGACAATCCGTTTTAGTACGAACATCACCTTTTTCTGTTGATTGAAAATACAAAACACATGTTTATTCAAAGAGGTAAGTAAAAATAATTACCATAAGAGGAGAGAAGATTTATAATTTCAAATTTCAATCACACTGCAGTGATTATAATTAAAGCGGGGGAGTCGTCAGATGCGTCAGATGGCCATAGCGTGTCATTGTTTACAAACAAGCTTCTTCCCATGAGCCTTTGCATTTTATTATCGTTGATTGGGACTCAATACCCGTGCGTGCGCAGGTGACGACCTTCCTGCTTAAAACATGGCCAGGGTTCTCCACGGTTTGAAAATTAAACAGGGCGCGCGAATGTGAAGTGGGCGTGGCACATTTGTAACGTGCATCATTGGCATGGATGTTGAAAAATGGACACCAAAAAATATATTAATCTACATATTATTACATATGCATAATATCTATTTTTTTGGACGAAGCAAAATAAAATTTATGATGTCGCACAAACGTTCGTAATTGGTTCATTAAAAAACTTGCATGAATGGCACCAAAAAGCAAGATCAAACGAAATAAGATCTACACAATAGAAGATTTTCGAACAGTTACTATCAAAAATAATAGAATTAGGTATAAAAACAAAATACATACTTAAAAGAATAATTTTCATTCGAATCGAAAGTTTGTTGATGTCTGCTTCGTTGAAAACAGCAGTGACCCGGAAACAGTTCATTTTACTGTGTGCACCCTGATACTATGTAACGATGCTCAGTGTTCTCCACAATCCAAAATAGCTGGTGGGCGGCCTAATTAGCATAAATTTGCATATTAATTTGCATGTCATTTACATACATCTTTCTAGCTTTTATGTCA